ACAGTCCTTGAGCTTCAGTACTTTAGTTTACAATACTTTAGCTTACAGTATTTTATCTTCGGTACTTTAATTTGTAGTACTTTAGCTTCAGTACTTTACAGTAGTTTAGCTTTAGTTCTTTAGTTTACAGTACTTTAGCTTCAGTACGTTAGTTTACAGTTCTTTACTTTACAGTACTTTAGCTTCGGTACTTTAGCTTCAGTTCTTTAGCTTCTGTATGTTAGTTTACAGTTCTTTACTTTACAGTACTTTAGTTTACAGTACTTAAGCTTCAGTTCTTTACTTTACAGTACTTTAGTTTACAGTACCTTAGCTTCAGTTCTTTAGTTTACACTACTTTAGCTTCAGAACTTTAGTTTAAAGTACTTAAGCTTCAGTTCTTTAGTTTAAAGTACTTTTGATTCAGTACTTTAGTTTACAGTACTTTAGCTTCAGTTCTTTAGTTTACAGCACCTTAGCTTCAGTTCTTTAGTTTACAGTACTTTAGTTTACAGTACCTTAGCTTCAGTTCTTTAGTTTACAGTACTTTAGCTTCAGCACTTTAGTTTACAGTCCTTGAGCTTCAGTACTTTAGTTTACAATACTTTAGCTTACAGTATTTTATCTTCGGTACTTTAATTTGTAGTACTTTAGCTTCAGTACTTTACAGTACTTTAGCTTTAGTTCTTTAGTTTACAGTACTTTAGCTTCAGTACGTTAGTTTACAGTTCTTTACTTTACAGTACTTTAGCTTCGGTACTTTAGCTTCAGTTCGTTAGCTTCTGTATGTTAGTTTACAGTTCTTTACTTTACAGTACTTTAGTTTACAGTACTTTAACTTCAATACTTTAGTTTACAGTACTTTAGCTTACAGTATTTTATCTTCGGTACTTTGTAGTACTTTAGCTTCAGTACTTTAGTTTACAGTACTTTAGCTTCAGTACTTTACAGTACTTTAGCTTCAGTACTTTAGTTTACAGTACTTTAGCTTACAGTATTTTATCTTCGGTACTTTGTAGTACTTTAGCTTCAGTACTTTAGTTTACTGTACTTTAGCTTCAGTACTTTACAGTACTTTATTTTCAGTACTTTAACTTACAGTATTTTATCTTCAGTACTTTACTTTGTAGTACTTTAGCTTCAGTACTTTAGTTTACAGTCCTTTAGCTTCAGTTCTTTAGTTTACAGTACTTTAGCTTCAGTACTTTACAGTCCTTTAGCTTCAGTATGTTAGTTTACAGTTCTTTACATTACAGTACTTTAGCTTCAGTACTTTGGCTTCGGTACTTTAGTTTACTGTACTTTAGTTTACATTACTTTAGCTTCAGTACTGTAACTTAAGTACTTTAGTTTACAGTACTTTAACTTACAGTATTTTATCTTCAGTACTTTACTTTGTAGTACTTTAGCTTCAGTACTTTAGTTTACAGTCCTTTAGCTTCAGTTCTTTAGTTTACAGTACTTTAGCTTCAGTACTTTACAGTCCTTTAGCTTCAGTACATTAGTTTACAGTTCTTTACTTTACAGTACTTTAGCTACAGTTCTTTAGTTTACAATACTTTAGCTTCAGTACTTTACAGAACTTAAGCTTCAGTACTTTAGTTTACAGTACTTTATCTTCAGTACTGTACAGTACTTAAGCTTTGGTACTTTGGTTTACAGTACTTTATTTTCAGTACTTTAGCCTCAGTACTTCATCTTACAGTACTTTAACTTACAGTATTTTATCTTCAGTACTTTACATTGTAGTACTTTGGCTTCAGTACTTTAGTTTACAGTCCTTTAGCTTCAGTACTTTAGTTTACAGTACTTTAGCTTCAGAACTTTAGTTTACAGTACTTAAGCTTCAGTTCTTTAGTTAACTGTACTTTATCTTCAGTACTTTAGGTTATAGTACTTTAGCTTCAGTTTGTTAGTTTACAGTACTTTAGTTTACAGTACCTTAGCTTCAGTACTTTAGTTTACAGTACTTTAGCTTCAGTTCTTTAGTTTACAGTACTTTAGTTTACAGCACCGTAGCTTCAGTTCTTTAGTTTACAGTACCTTAGCTTCAGTACTTTAGTTTACAGTACCTTAGCTTCAGTACTTTAGTTTACAGTACTTTAGCTTCAGTTCTTTAGTTTACAGTACTTTAGTTTACAGCACCGTAGCTTCAGTTCTTTAGTTTACAGTACCTTAGCTTCAGTTCTTTAGTTTACAGTACTTTAGCTTCAGTTCTTTAGTTTACAGTACTTTAGTTTACAGCACCTTAACTTCAGTTCTTTAGTTTACAGTACTTTAGTTTACAGTACCTTAGCTTCAGTTCTTTAGTTAACAGTACCTTAGCTTCAGTTCTTTAGTTTACAGTACTTTAGTTTACAGTACCTTAGCTTCAGTTCTTTAGTTTACAGTACTTTAGCTTCAGCACTTTAGTTTACAGTACTTTAGTTTACAGTAACTTAGCTTCAGTTCTTTAGTTTACAGTACTTTAGCTTCAGCACTTTAGTTTACAGTCCTTGAGCTTCAGTACTTTCGTTTACAATACTTTAGCTTACAATATTTTATCTTTGGTACTTTAATTTGTAGTACTTTAGCTTCAGTACTTTACTTTACAGTACTTTAGCTTTAGTTCTTTAGTTTACAGTACTTTAGCTTCAGTACTTTACAGTACTTAAGCTTCAGTTCTTTACTTTACAGTACTTTATCTTAAGTACTTTAGTTTACAGTACTTTAGTTTACAGTACTTTAGCTTCAGTTCTTTAGTTTACAGTACTTTAGTTTACAGCACCTTAGCTTCAGTTCTTTAGTTTACAGTACTTTAGCTTCAGTTCTTTAGTTTACAGTACTTTAGCTTCAGCACTTTAGTTTACAGTCCTTGAGCTTCAGTACTTTAGTTTACAATACTTTAGCTTACAGTATTTTATCTTCGGTACTTTAATTTGTAGTACTTTAGCTTCAGTACTTTACTTTACAGTACTTTAGCTTTAGTTCTTTAGTTTACACTACTTTAGCTTCAGAACTTTAGTTTACAGTACTTAAGCTTCAGTTCTTTAGTTTAAAGTACTTTTGATTCAGTTCTTTAGTTTACTTTAGCTTCAATACTTTAGTTTACAATACTTTAGCTTACAGTATTTTATCTTCGGTACTTTGTTGTACTTTAGCTTCAGTACTTTAGTTTACTGTACTTTAGCTTCAGTACTTTAGTTTACAGTACTTTATTTTCAGTACTTTAACTTACAGTATTTTATCTTCAGTACTTTACTTTGTAGTACTTTAGCTTCAGTACTTTAGTTTACAGTCCTTTAGCTTCAGTACTTCAGTTTACAGTCCTTTAGCTTTAGTTCTTTAGTTGAAAGTACTTTAGCTTCAGTACTTTAGTTTACAGTACTTTATCTTCAGTACTTTAGCTTCAATACCTTACAGTACTTTAGCTTAAAGTATTTTATCTTCAGTACTTTACTTTGTAGTACTTTAGCTTCAGTACCTTACAGTAGTTTAGCTTCAGTATTGTAGTTTACAGTTCTTTACAGTACTTTATCTTCAGTACTTTAGTTTACAGTACTCACCTCCTGCTCTGTCTGCTGTCTTTCAGGTGATTTAACCTTCATCGACGTCGACAGACTTCGACTTCTTCACTCCTTCAGAACAAAGTTCAGCCATCCGCTCGTCCCCGCCTTCACTGTCAGTACTACATCGCACTGCAGTAATACTACACCTAATACTATACCCCGCCTTCACCGTCAGTACATCACCACACTGCAGTAATACTACACGTAATACTATACCCTGCCTTCACCATCAGTACAACACCACACTGTAGCACAGTAGTAGTACACCAGACAATATTTCATCCATAAAATATGATCCATTTTCACCAAAGCTAGACCCTGCCCCTCTGCAGGCTACCGAGAAGTTGACCAATCAGAAAGAAAGTGGGCTTTTATGGGGGGGTGTCTTAAAGAGACAGGAGCTGAAGCTATGATGAGGAAATGTGTTTTTCACATTAAAGCATGAAAATGACAGTACAACCTGAGTATAAGACCTTTAACAAAAGTAATCTGTGTTGCAGGTCTGGTGTGGTGGTATTGCCGTAACGACTGGGCTACAGGTGCCGAGCTTCATGGGTAATTTCCTCTCCACCAATCAGAGCCTCAGCAACCTGTCGCAGTAGAGCAACCTCCTCCAATTATCATTTTTATTTTATTATGTTATCATTATCATTAATTTATTAATTTAATTTAATATAATTATATATTATATACAGAAATTATTTGTGTATTGTTGTTGTCATCAAATATTAATTGAAAGGATATTATATTCATTATTCTTGCTGCTCTATCTGCTCTTATTTTAAAAGTCTTGACCTGAAGCCATAGTTTTGTTTGATTTTGAAGAAGAACAAATATGATCTATTAGCACTGGCTTTTATTGACTGATTTTTTATAACAGGAAAACAAATTGTTTCTTTTATTTTGAAGCTACAGGAAAGAAGATCTATGTTTAAGTATGTGTGAAAGCTTTTATTATGAAAGACATCATTACATATAGGAATGTGCATTTCTAAGTTTATTTTGAACATTAGAATGGAACTTCCTGTCATTTTGACCAAATTACAGTACTTTAATTGTTAAGATGAATATCTTTTTGTTTTTTCAGTTGATGTTGAGAATCAGGATACTATTTATTTTCAGTTTTTATTAAATGTTCATATCTGACCTGGAATCTGAGGTCCTTTATACTGAAAATATAATATTTGTATTATATTGTCTGTAAATGTCACATCTGTGAAAACAGTAAGATAAAATTTAAGACTGTGAAAATAAACATTAAACACTTGCAAAATGTCCGTCGGCTTTCATTGTGAAGAAAACCTCAGTGTGAGTTTAGAGTTTGTGTATTTATATTTAAAGTATATTACTGAAAACCTACAAATAGAGAGAACCAGGCTTTTATTAGAGACATTATATTTAAGACACACTCCCCCATATTTATTTGTTGTCTCAATGAATTCATTATGTGTCTAAACATAAATTACACACATAACTTGCACACACCTGCTTTTATTGTAACGAAACATATCAGAAGAATTAAAAAGATTCAGTACTGACTGTACTGACGTCTAAAACAAAGCACAGAAGAAGAGAGTGAAGGTTTCAGGAATAGACATGATCTTTGTACATCAGGCCAATCCAGCCTCGACGCACATCTGGTAGAAGTGGCCCTGCATACAGAGAAGCTGAGAGGGGGAGTCCATCTCTGCAACGAAGCCTTGGTCCATCACAATGATCCTGAACAGAGAGAGACGGGAAAAGTAAGATGGGCAGAAAAACGAGTCAGAAAAACTAATGAGGATTTAGAGACAAAAGAAGACGAGTCAGAAAAACTAACAAGGATTTAGAGACGAAAGAAGACAAGTCAGAAAAACTAACGAGAATTAAGAGACGAAAGAAGACGAGTCAGAAATACTAATGCAGATTAAGAGACGAAAGAAGACGAGTCAAAAAAACTAATGGGGATTTAGAGACGAAAAAAGACGAGTCAAAATAACTAATGAGGATTTAGTGATGAAAGAAGACGAGTCAGAAAAACTAATGAGGATTTAGAGACAAAAGAAGACGAGTCAGAAAAACTAATGAGGATTTAGAGACAAAAGAAGACGAGTCAGAAAAACTAATGGGGATTTAGAGACGAAAAAAGACGAGTCAGAAAAACTAACGAGGATTTAGAGACGAAAAAAGACGAGTCACAAAAACTAACAGGGATTTAGAGATGAAAAAAGACGAGTCAAAATAACTAATGAGGATTTAGAGACAAGAGAAGACAAGTCAGAAAAATTTATGAGGATTTAGAGACGAAAGAAGACGAGTCAAAATAACTAATGAGGATTTAGAGACGAATTAAGACGAGTCAGAAAAACTAACCAGGATTTAGAGACGAAAGAAGACGAGTCAGAAAAATGAATGAGGATTTAGAGACGAAAGAAGATGAGTCAGAAAAACTAACCAGGATTTAGAGACGAAAGAAGACGAGTCAAAATAACTAATGAGGATTTAGAGACGAAAGAAGACGAGTCAGAAAAACTAACAGGGATTTAGAGACGAAAGAAGACGAGTCAGAAAAACTAACGAGGATTTAGAGACGAAAGAAGATGAGTCAGAAAAACTAACAAGGATTTAGAGACGAAAAAGACGAGTCAAAATAACTAATGAGGATTTAGTGACGAAAGAAGACGAGTCAGAAAAATGAATGAGGATTTAGAGACGAAAGAAGACGAGTCAGAAAAACTAACGAGGATTTAGAGACGAAAGAAGACGAGTCAGAAAAACTAACGAGGTTTAAGAGACGAAAGAAGACGAGTCAGAAAAACTAACGAGGATTAAGAGACGAAAGAAGACGAGTTGGAAAAACTAATGGGGATTTAGAGACGAAAAAAGACGAGTCAAAATAACTAATGAGGATTTAGTGACGAAAGAAGACGAGTCAGAAAAACTAACCAGGATTTAGAGACGAAAGAAGATGAATCAGAAAAACTAACGAGGATTTAGAGACGAAAGAAGACGAGTCAGGAAAACTCATGGGGATTTAGAGACGAAAGAAGACGAGTCAAAATAACTAATGAGTATTTAGAGACGAAAGAAGACGAGTCAGAAAAACTAACAAGGATTTAGAGACGAAAGAAGACGAGTCCGAAAAACTAATGAGGATTAAGAGACGAAAGAAGACGAGTCAGAAAAACTAATGGGGATTTAGAGACGAAAAAAGACGAGTCAAAATAACTAATGAGGATTTAGTGATGAAAGAAGACGAGTCAGAAAAACTAATGAGGATTTAGAGACGAAAAAAGACAAGTCAAAATAACTAATGAGGATTTAGAGACGAAAGAAGACGAGTCAAAATAACTGATGAGGATTTAGAGACGAAAGAAGATGAGTCAGAAAAACTAACAAGGATTTAGAGACGAAAAAAGACGAGTCAGAAAAACTAACGAGGATTAAGAGACGAAAGAAGACAAGTCAGAAAAACTAAAAGGGATTTAGAGACGAAAAAAGACGAGTCAAAATAACTAATGAGGATTTAGGGACGAGAAGACAAGTCAGAAAAATTTATGAGGATTTAGAGACGAAAGAAGACGAGTCAAAATAACTAATGAGGATTTAGAGACGAAAGAAGACGAGTCAGAAAAACTAACCAGGATTTAGAGACGAAAGAAGACGAGTCAGAAAAATGAATGAGGATTTAGAGACGAAAGAAGACGAGTCAGAAAAACTAACCAGGATTTAGAGACGAAAGAAGATGAGTCAGAAAAACTAATGAGGATTTAGAGACGAAAGAAGACGAGTCAGAAAAACTAACAGGGATTTAGAGACGAAAGAAGACGAGTCAGAAAAACTAACGAGGATTTGGAGACGAAAGAAGACGAGTCAGAAAAACTAACGAGGATTTAGAGACGAAAAAAGATGAGTCAAAATAACTAATGAGGATTTAGTGACGAAAGAAGACGAGTCAGAAAAATGAATGAGGATTTAGAGACGAAAGAAGACGAGTCAGAAAAACTAACGAGGATTTAGAGATGAAAGAAGACGAGTCAGAAAAACTAACGAGGATTTAGAGACGAAAGAAGACGAGTCAGAAAAACTAACGAGGATTTAGAGACGAAAGAAGACAAGTTGGAAAAACTAATGGGGATTTAGAGACGAAAAAAGACGAGTCAAAATAACTAATGAGGATTTAGTGACGAAAGAAGACGAGTCAGAAAAATGAATGAGTATTTAGAGACGAAAGAAGACGAGTCAGAAAAACTAACGAGGATTTAGAGACGAAAAAAGACGAGTCAAAATAACTAATGAGGATTTAGTGACGAAAGAAGACGAGTCAGAAAAATGAATGAGGATTTAGAGACGAAAGAAGACGAGTCAGAAAAACTAACGAGGATTTAGAGATGAAAGAAGACGAGTCAGAAAAATGAATGAGTATTTAGAGACGAAAGAAGACGAGTCAGAAAAACTAACCAGGATTTAGAGACGAAAGAAGATGAATCAGAAAAACTAACGAGGATTTAGAGACGAAAGAAGACGAGTCAGGAAAACTAATGGGGATTTAGAGACGAAAGAAGACGAGTCAAAATAACTAATGAGTATTTAGAGACGAAAGAAGACGAGTCAGAAAAACTAACGAGGATTTAGAGACGAAAGAAGACGAGTCCGAAAAACTAATGAGGATTAAGAGACGAAAGAACACGAGTCAGAAAAACTAATGGGGATTTAGAGACGAAAAAAGACGAGTCAAAATAACTAATGAGGATTTAGTGATGAAAGAAGACGAGTCAGAAAAACTAATGAGGATTTAGAGACGAAAAAAGACAAGTCAAAATAACTAATGAGGATTTAGAGACGAAAGAAGACGAGTCAAAATAACTGATGAGGATTTAGAGACGAAAGAAGATGAGTCAGAAAAACTAACGAGGATTTAGAGACGAAAAAAGACGAGTCAGAAAAACTAACGAGGATTAAGAGACGAAAGAAGACGAGTCAGAAAAACTAACAGGGATTTAGAGACGAAAAAAGACGAGTCAAAATAACTAATGAGGATTTAGAGACGAGAAGACAAGTCAGAAAAATTTATGAGGATTTAGAGACGAAAGAAGACGAGTCAGAAAAACTAACCAGGATTTAGAGACGAAAGAAGACGAATCACAAAAACTAACAAGGATTTAGAGACGAAAGAAGACGAGTCAAAAAAACTAACTTTCAATTCAATTCAATTCAATTCAATTTTATTTATATAGCGCCAAATCACAACAACAGTTATCTCACAGCGCTTTTCATAAAAGAGCAGGTCTAGACCGTACTCTGTGATGATATTTACAGAAGCCCAACAGTTCCCACCAAGAGCAAGCACTAGGCGACAGAGGCAAGGAAAACTTCCTTTTAAGAGGCAGAAACCTCGAGCAGAACCATGGCTCAGGGTGGGCGGCCATCTGCCTCGACCGGTTGGGGTGAGAGAGAGAGAGAGAGAGAGAGAGAGAGAGAGAGAGAGAGGGATGTAAGGAGAGAGAGAGGGGAGGGAGGCAGCCTACACAATATACACACAGAGGTACAGACAGTGAAGGTAATGTTGCTATAGACTAAATGAAAATGGTACAGATATTTATAATAGTGTTAATGGTAACCATCGTAATGTTAATGATTATAATAACAATAATAACAATAAGACTAGCAACAATAGTCGTTGCAGTAGAGGGTGTCGAGCAGGAACACGGGGGCAGCAGGTGACCCGCAGCCACAGATCCAGACTCCACAGCTCCAGAGCCAGAAAACCTGCAGGAAGTGATAGGAGAGAGGAGAGAGACGAGAAAGCACAAGACTACCGGAAAGGGGAGAAGTTGTGTTAGTAACATGCAATAATGGGATAAGGTTGCATACAGAGGGAGAGAAAGTAGAGGAGAGAGGAGCTCAGTGCATCATGGGAAATCCCCCGGCAGTCTAGGCCTATAGCAGCATAACTAAGGGATGGTTCAGGACTACCTGAGCCAGCCCTAACTATAAGCTTTATCAAAGAGGAAAGTCTTAAGCCTACTCTTAAATGTGGAGATGGTGTCTGCCTCCTGAACCCAAACTGGAACCTGGTTCCACAGGAGAGGAGCTTGATAGCTGAACGCTCTGGCTCCTAGTCTACTTTTGGAGACTCTAGGAACCACAAGTAACCCTGCATTCTGGGAGCGCAGTGCTCTGGTGGGGTAGTAAGGTACTATGAGCTCTTTAAGATAAGATGGTGCCTGACCATTAAGAGCTTTGTAGGTAAGAAGAATGATTTTAAATTCTATTCTGGATTTTACTGGAAGCCAATGCAAAGAAGCTAAAACAGGAGAAATGTGATCTCTTTTCCTGGTTCCTGTCAGAACACGTGCTGCAGCATTCTGGATCAGCTGAAGAGTCTTAATGGACTTTTTCGAGCAGCCTGATAATAAGGAATTGCAGTAATCCAGCCTAGAAGTAACAAATGCATGGACTAGTTTTTCTGCATCATTTTTAGACAGGATGTTCCTGATTTTCGCAATATTAGGTGAAAAAAGGCGGTCCTTGAAATTTGCTTAATGTGAGACTTAAACGACATGTCCTGATCAAAGATAACTCCAAGATTCCTACAGTGGTGCTGGAGGCCAAGGCGATGCCATCCAGGGAAACTATATCTTTACATAATGCGTCACGGAGGTGCTTAGGCCCCAGAGCAATAACTTCAGTTTTATCTGAGTTTAACATGAGAAAATTACAGGTCATCCAGGTTTTAA